CATCTTGTTTCTTCATGTAGACACAACTATCGTAGCTGCTTCTGGCAAAACCAATCTTTATCATAAACTCATCAAATCTTTTGTACCATTGTCTTGGGCTTTGTTTCAGTCCGTACAAAGATTTCTTCAGCAAGAAAACTTTATCATTGGTTTTAGGTGTGCTATACCCCTCTGACTGTTCCATGAAGATGATTTCTTCCAACTCTCTGTGTAAGAACGCAGTTTTAACATCTAGCTGCTCTAATTTCAAATTGAATTGAACCGCTAGTGCTAAAACTATCCTGATCGAGCAGTACTTTACCACGGACGAGAAAATTTCATTGAAGTCAATTCCTTCTACCTATGTGAACCCCTTTGCTACAAGTCTTGCTTTATACCTGACCTCCTTGCTGCCTAGGATGTCTTTCTTCTTCTTGAAGGTCCACTTACAACCAACGACACATTGATTCTTTGATCAGTCTACAAGTTTTCATTTTTTGTTCTTCATCAAAGAAGCTATCTCTTCATCCATAACATCTTCCCACTTGTGTCTCTCTTTACTCTTTAGAGCTTCCTTGTAGCTATTTGATTCTGCTTCTTCTATCTCTTCTGCGACGCTCAATGCATAAGAGATCAAATTTGCATGATCATATCTCTCTGACGGTCTGATGGTTCTTCTCTGCCTATCTCTCACCAAACTGTAGTCATTTAATCTGCTTTCAAATTCAATTTCTTGTTGGTCTTCCACCGCTTCATCTTAATTGTTTGCAACAGTCCCTTGATCCATCAAGATTTGTTGATGTTGCAGCTCCACCTCAATTGGAGTATCCTCCTTAATAGCACTGTTCTTGGTAACGTAGCTTTGCATGTTTGCCATTTTGGACTCATCGAATACCACATCTCTACTGATGATGCATTTTTGTTGATCTAGACACCACAGTTTGTAGTCTTTGGTTCCAGGTGGATAGCCAATGAAAATGCACTTTAAAGCCCTTGCTTCCAGCTTATCCTGTCTAACATGAGCATATGCAATACATCCAAACATTTTGAGATTTTCATAGCTATCTGGTTTCCCGTACCACATCTCCAAAGGAGTCTTCATTCCAATAACTGTCGATGGACATCTATTGATAAGATAGCAAGAGGTTGACACAGCTTTACCCCAGAAAGATTTGGGTAGGCCGACATTTAAGAGCATGCACCTCACTCTCTCTAAGAGAGTCCTATTCATCCTTTCAGCCAAGTCATTCTGTTGAGGAGTGTTCTGAACTGTCTTGTGCCTCGTAATGTCATTCTTTCTGCAAAACTCATCGAACTGTTCTGAACAGTACTCCAGGCCATTGTCAGTTTTCAAGTACTTCAGTTTTGCTTCCATCTTATTTTCAGTGAGAGTTAACCAGTCCTTGAATCGTTGAAAAGCTTCATTTTTTGTTTTAAGGATAAAGACACATACCTTTCTGGTGTAGTCATCTATGATGGACATAAAGTACCTCCCTCCTCCATGAGTTTGAGTTCCGGCTGGGCCCCATAGATCACTGTGTGCATAATCAAGTGGTTTCATTGATGTGTGAGTTCCGGTAGAGAACTTCACTCTGGTGGCCTTCCCCAACACAAATTGTTCACAAAACTCCAGTTTACTGACTTGATCTCCATATAACAGGTTCTGTCTGGACAGTTCTTGTAAGTCTTTTTCACTTACATGCCCCAGTCTCATGTGCCATAGTCTAGTCCTGTCGGGTTTTGATCGTATTGCGTTAGAGAAGTCGTCAATTACAGTTCTTCCAATTAGGGAGTAAAACCCATTCTTCCTAACTCATTTCATGACGATGAGGGAGCCTTTGATTACTTTGATGCAACCACTTTCTGCCTTGAATGAGTATCCGCTTGACTCCAGCATACCTAAAAAGATCAGATTTCTTTTTAGTTCGGGAACGTACTTGACATGTTGTAGTATTCGTTCGGCTCCATCGAACATCTTAATTCTGATTGTTCCACTACTGACCACCCTACAAGCCTTGTTATCTCCAAGTAGTACAGACCCACCATTTGCCAGTTGCAATGTCTCGAACCAGTCCTTGTGAGGACACATGTGGAAAAAGCACCCCGAGTCGAAGATCCACTCATTGTTGGATTCTTATTCGGTGATCACCAGTGCTTCAGCTGAATCATAGCCATCCGAGGCTATGCTTGCTTCTCCAAGATCTTTAGGATTTTCTTGAAATTTCTTCTTCCTCTCCGGACAGTTTCTCCGGAAGGTCAGAAGTGACCTTCCTTATGGCACTGAAAACACTTGTAAGATCCTTTCGTCGACTGACTTCTGTCCTTCTTTCCTTTCTTTGATCTTGATCTGCTTTGACTGTTTCTTTAGCCCTTTTTGTCTGATGTTTCTCTAATGATAAGACTGTCCCCGCTAATTTCTTCGTTCGTCTCGAGCTTCTTTTGGAGTTCTTTGGCTCTGACCAAAGATTGAACCTCTTCCAGAGAGATTGTCTGCGTCCTTCCATAGAGCATCGCATCTTTGAAATGCACGTAGCTCTTAGGAATGGAATTTAGTATTAGCAGTGTCTTATCATCGTCATCCATCTTAACCTCGATGTTCTCGAGATCGTCGATAATCTTATTAAAATCGTCGATCTATTCCGAGACTGATTTGTCCTCGTGCATTTTTGAAAGAATATAGACGCTATTTCAAGAAGAGTCTATTCGCCAGAGATTTCTTCATATAGAGGACCGCAGTTTGGCCCAAAGTGCTTGAGCCGTTGTCTCCCTCGAAACTTCCCTCAGAACCTTATCGTCAAGGCTCAGAATTATTAAGCTATGGGCCCTGTCAAGAATCCCGTTCTTTTCTTTTTCGGTCATGTCAGCCGGAAATGCCGCCGAGCCTTGCAAGGCTTCTGCAACGCCTTGCTGCACCAACAGGGCTTTCATTTTCACTCTCCACAGGCCGAAGTCGTTCTTTCCTGTGAACTTCTCGATGTCGAATTTTGCGGAGCCCATTGTCGTGGGTGAATTCCCACAAACGGCGCCAATTGTCGTAAACTCGTCCCGCCGAACACCTGAAATGTTTCAAAGAACTCCTATGGATTGAGTTAGATGGGAAAGATCTTTAATATTGAAATTGCCAAATAAGATATGTCAAGGGACTGTTCTTCCTGGATGGAAGAACCTACAGGCTATGGTTAGGAGAGGGATTGTCGAACTCCCTCCTTGTTACAACCGAAAGAATGCTAGACTTCTTTTCTTCTGGCAACTGAAGATCCGTCCGTCTGAACAGCATAACCTGTGTACCAAACTCCCTGCTCCTGGCCAAGAACTGCTATCTAAACATCATGCTACAGTGTCGAATCCTGTAGCAGTCGAATACCTCCCTCCTCTCTTCTGCGGTTCTTGGGTGTTGAAATACCTGAACAGACGAATGGTTGTAGCCCAAGTCTTATTTCGAATTCCACCTAACAGTGAACCTGGATATTTGAAGCCCTTGCTGGGCAACTGAATAGAAGAAGGAAATAAAAAAATGAATCGCAGCAAGAAACGGGAAAAACAGAGGGAAAACTGCAAGAAACGAAATGCCACAAGGAATAAACACAAGAATTACGTGGTTCGGTCCATAGACCTACATCTACGGAGGGAATCACTACCAAATTCACTATGACAAAAGAAGAATTACAGGCTCATTACATTAAGGAATCACCATATCTCTCTAGATCTCTCTCTCTCTACAAGACCTCTCCCTCAATTCTAAAGTCTCTCCACTTCTTCCTCTCCTTGCTGAATTTTCTTCCTCCTTTTGATCTTCTTGATCAGATTTTTCTATCTCCTTATAGTGGTCTAAACTCCCCACAAGACCCCTCATCTATTTATAAGTAGATGAGGCCTTCCAAGAGGCATGAAAATTACAAGTATGTCATTAGCCTTAATTAAGATCCATAACATATTTAAATATATAACATCTAAAACTTTACTTTTTGCTTTTCTACCACCGAAATCTTTCATATCACATAAAAAATGCCACCATTTTAACTATTAAAAAGTGAAATACACCTTTTCATTCATAGATAAGGCGGCATGTATGTAAAAATTGAAGTTTAGGCTTTAGATATGTAAATACATAGGAATTGAGTGGTATGTAAGTAAATCCTCCAAGATTATTCATTAATAACAACAACACCCTAACAGAGAACCTAAGAATTGCTGAAGCAACAATCATGAGCTTAGACCAACAGTACACACTCTTCAACGTCAGACTTGATGAATGGGTGCCAAAAAAAAAAACCTTTAGCCTTTTTTCTTTTCCTTTTTAGCACCCCAAAAACAAAAAACCGCTCTATTTACGTATACAGTTACGATAACTGAGAATATAAGGAAAAGCAGTAAAAATTTTAGTACTAATTCGTGCTATTTAATGAGAAAAAAAGGAGAGTAAATAGAGGATGTTTCTTGGTGACGAATGAATAAGAAAACAAAGAAAAAACCCGGTCCGTGAAATTCAAAAGAGTATCTAAGCGAAAAGAAAAAAAATAAATAAATAGAAATCATTTTTGCCACACTAATACAAAATTGTCATAGCAGAAGCTTACGTTCTTTAAACAGATTGATTTTCAGTTTTGATGAAAAAAAAAAAAAAGATTTTTTTTGTAAATTTATTTGTCATATTATTTATATAATAAAAAATGAAGATTAGTTACACCGGCGTTGTTAGTAAAAAAGGAAAGGTTTTTCTAACTAGTGCGAAATTCAACTACGCTTCCATGATTTAATAGGAACAACAGCGATCAACAGGTGCAGGCGGGTTGGTATACTTAATTTGCAGGTAAATATAATTCCTATGAACAGATTAAACAGCTCAATAATCTCTCTCAAATGGTGCTACAGCTGCTTATTGCAAAACTACCGCCACATCTCATAAATTACAATAGAAGAACAAAGTATGCCGGGCTAAATTGCATTAGTTATAACGTTGTTAGTAAAAATGCTCCATTTTAAGAAAAATATGAAGAGGGAATGTGTCTGAAAGGACATGCCTTTTGTGTCCCCGATTTAACTCCATTGGACCCCTTCCATTTTGTTGACCAAGATTTTTCTGAAAGAACTCTTGATAAACCATGCTGTCCGGGTGATGAAGTTCCATGCCTAATGCGACCAAAATTAGGAGACATCCCCTCTGAAAATGAGAGGGATTGCTCAAGGCTCCGCTTCTCCAGAACACCATCTACTGGTAAAGTCTTCGAGTTACCATTAGACTTCAACTTAGAAGGTGAAGATACCCTCGCATCATCCTTGCAGCCACCGACATTAATCTTAATATGGGATGCCGAAAAGTTCACAGCGGAACCCTTCGAACAAATTGCGCCCATTACGGTTGACTCTTGAAAAGATCTACCAGTGTCTTGTTCCCCTTTCCATGTATTATAAACTCAAAACTCAAAAGAGTGGATAGAAACAGAGAGAACAAATTCGTATTTGCTGAAGAAGACGATGAGGAGTCGAATTCAAGTAACCTAATCAATTACATCCGCAGTCAAACACTGCATAATTCTCGTAATTGATCAAACTAGATTACCAAATTAAAAAAAAAAAGAATTAGAAAGCCAAATCAGTTACCACATGAAAAGCTTTCTCAATACCGAGATCCGTGAACGGGGAAAGTAGATTTAGCTTACTGAAGCACGAAAGAATCAGATCTAATACAATAGAGAAGAGAAGCAATATGCAACTACTATAAAATTGTGCCCAGCTAGAAAGAAACGGAAGTAATTGAAATGGGTCGAACGGTGGAAGAATATCCGCTCTTTCTTCTCTGTTACCGAACAGGAAGAAAGTGAGCGGAGATCGAGGAGGGAGGAAGAATTTGGATTCTCCAGCAGCAACTGAGCCCTGAGGCATCCCATGAGAAGAAATATAAGCCGGTCAGACACTTAGAAGGGGAATTGGTCAAACCCAAGCTCGTTCTGCTTGTCTCTCTCTACTCACTCTTTCTTCTCCGCTTTCCTCTGTCGTCGTATGCCCTGTTTCGGCTTCATAGATGATCAAGAATTATCTAGGGTTCCCTATGAGCTCGCCGGCAAACGTTCTGGGGTGCCTGCGTGGGTGAGCGTACGTGCTCGGGTGCCTGTGCGGCTAGCAGATGACCCATTTTTTTGGTAATGCAAATTGTAAACATAAAGAGTAAGGCTTCCAACGAAATAAAATAGGATATATATAACGACTTAGGCTTCCCACGAGTTAAAACCCTATGCTTCCCACGTTTAAATTTTTATATTATTTGAATAACACTATAATAATTTAATTGCATCATTTATACATGTATGAAATGATGTAAATAAAAATGCTTTAGATAAATAGTAATAATAATAATTTTTACTTGTATTTAAAAAAACATAATATTATAAAATGTATATATAATTAAGTATTAAATATTTATTACATATGCATACATATTGTTGAATTCAATTATGTCTTATGAAGCACGCTCGATTGTCGGAATAGTAGGGACCAGGGAGGAGAGGAGACGAGACGAGACGAGAAACCGAGCAAGACAAAAGAAATTAAAAAGCACACTAGGACCTATCCCGCGGGGGCAAACTAAGGTATTCTTGAGCTCAATAACCCATTTTATATATCTAAATAGAGATTACAAGAAGAAAGGAAGGAAGCTCTTCCTTTACAACATGGGGTCTAGATTCTAGAGCCAAAGGCCTTTTTTACATACACTCTCTTTTTATAGAAGATATATGGTCATAAAGCAAAAATTACATATATGCCCATGCTTTTATAAAAGGAGTATAGGATATTATTGTCTTTTCATATTCATAACTGAATTTGGATTCTTTTGATGTTCACAGATTCTTCAAACCAACATATCATTTCTTTGGTTGGATGAGATGACATCGGTCAGTTAATTCATCTGGATGTCAGGTAACCCTTGCTTTTGAAAGTCGTTCGAGATTGAATCCAGTGGTCGGTTGGATCTAGGTGTCTGACCAAGGGTGCCGCTTAGATGGTCCTTGTTGGACACCCAAGGATTGTCGGTTGCGGTTACCTGAAGGGTGCTGGCCGACCATAGGTGGCTACCTATGCCTTGCTGGTGGCCAGCTAAGGTGGTCAGTCCGCCGCAAGGATGGGTTTCGGCTGGTGGGGCCTTGAGTTCTCCAGTCGAGCACTAGCATTTGATTTGGTCTGTAGGCTGCCTTGAGATTCGTACATGCCATTTTTGGTTGTATATATTAAGTTTCCCATCTTTCTTGCTTCAATAGAGAAAAGAAAATTTTTAAATGTAATAAAAGAAAATTTATAATAGTCATAGTTTAATATAATAAATAGACCACTGGATTTCCATGCACATTACCATTATATATATATATATATATATATATACATACAAAAATGAATGGTCATAGGCTATTATACGAGCCTCCAGCCACCCCTAATGTATATATGGTGTAAGAGGGGCAACTCTGTCATCTTGAGTTTGTTTCTTTTATCGGCTCTCGCTCGCCATTTATTGTTTTTTTCATGGAGAAAGGATTTGACTCTATGCTAAAGCCAATTAATAAAGTCAGGATGTTGGACGTCCTTGGGATCAGATCGCTGATACCGCTTCCTGATGCTACAACACTCAGGGGGCTCACGCAAGTGCACATGTCATATTAGTAATATCATATTTTAGAGTCTGGAATGTCGATCCCACAGAGAACTTGGTAATTCAAAATAGGAGAAGTTATATCCTACTGGTTTTAAGTCCTAGCCTGAAAAGTTGAAAACCTTAAAGTCTGAAAAGCTAACCTACTGTGTCACAACAAACGACAAATTTAAATCATGCACAAATAATCCTACTTTTAGTAATTTGGATTTAAAGATATCAAATAGATATTCATCAAAAGGGCTATTAGAACTGAGTTGGTTCATAATTTTATGTTCAGTGAGAATAAAACTTATGTTAGTCTGCTTCAGTCAGCTGAGGTCCTTGTTGACCTCACTTTTGTTGGAGAATAAGTTTCTTCCTTAGAAGCCTAAGATCTAGTCATGGGACTCTTCTATTGATTATTCATAGGGGACTATTGATGAAACCCTCATCAATAGAAATTCTAATATTCTTTTTTACTCATCTTGAAGTTCCACTTGTTGGTTCTAACCTCTAGCATTTAGTAGATGGAACCAGTATGGTGGAGCTCAAGAGGAGTTCCCATAAGACTGTTTGACCTTAGGATTAACCCTGGGTGGTGTGGTCTTGGTCAGGTCTACACATACACACACATGAACCTTTCACATTCACTCACAACCCTAACCCAAACGTACCTAGCTTGATCCCTTCCTCTATTGGAAACTCATTTGGGTGGTCCCTTAAATCATTAGCTCTAGGCTAGGGTTTGGCTAAGACCAGCACATGAAGGATCCATAATGGGAGTTCAAAATCATGGCTCAAATAGGGTGAACTCATAATTAACATCCTCATCAATCTCAATTTTGCCAAATTCCCAATTTTGACCCTTATTGGCCCCAACTTTCCCAAATTACCAAATTGCCCCTAAACCCTAGATTTTCCAAAAATTCCCAAAATTACCCAAATTCTCAAATTCCCTTCAAAAATCATTTCAAGCCATTCCAATTCACTCAAATTGACCAAAATGCATTAAAATTTTCAAAATCCCCAAAATACCCTAAAAATTATCAAAATTACCAAAATGTCATTCATACCCCAAAAATTCTAAAAATTTCCAAAATCACTCCTAATGTCCAAAAAATCAATTTGAACCACCCCATTGAATCCAATTTGACCAAATTGACCCCTTTTGACCAAAATCCCCAAATTGCCCTTAAAGGCCCAAATTCCCCAATTCGCCCTCAATTTCTACCAAATTGACTTCAATCTCACCCAATTTCAATTCTAAATTCAAATTCATCATATCCAATCCTAATTGAAGCTCAATTAAACCAATTTCAAACCTAAATTCCAAGCCTAACCAAAATACTCAATTTAACCATATACCTAATTTCCCCAAATTAAACCTCCTAACATATCCAATTTCCCCAATTTTTAATTCTAAATTTCTTATAACATTTCTTTAGACCAAATTGAACTTCAAATTGGTCGTAGAATAGCCTTAAATCTCACCTAAATCCAACCTAAGCCAAAATCCCCAAATTTGCACCTAAGTCTAAATTCCATCAAATTGAACATCATAACTCCAAAATTTCTACCCAATTGATATCCAAAACTCTTCATGGCAGTCTTTTAGACCAACTTAAGCCATCAATTAGCAAAAGTCAAAACCCTATCCCAATCCAAACTCAAGTCTAGCCCAAATGCCCAAAATTGACTATGAGCCAAATTCCACCCAATTGAACCCCTAAATCAATTCAAAATCACCCAATTTCTTTTCCAAACTTCTCAGGACAATCATCCAAGCCAATTTGATCAATCAATTGATCCAAACTTAAAGTCTAGTCAAATCCAAATTCAAATCCAAGACCATGACATGATTTTGAACCAAAGCTTTAAATTGAACCAAACCCATTCAAATTGACCAAGCCATGGTCATCACAGCTAGCCATTGGGCCCTAGAGACCGGGTTAGACCCACCTAGCCCACCCTACATGAGCCATGGACCAAAGGTCCCTTGATTCAGAGGATCTCTTCTTATATTTGACTAAACCAAGAGAGATATGTCATCAGCCATCAAACCCCCAAGCTAATCACAATTAAGGCTTCCCTTAGATCCCTTGAACCACCTATCCACCAGCCCTGGTCGGCTGGCCTAGTCGCCGGAAAATACCAAAACTGAGAGCCACCCCAAGCTTTAAACCCAAATTTAAACTCCCTGAGTTAGCTCATCCAAATTGGTTGCTTGCATGTTTCTCCTCTCCACCTAAGCAACTCCTGGCACCCATTAGCCAATCCTGGTGGCCACCACTCCCCTGCCAATTTAAACTCCACCTCTCACAGCCAACTACACCTCTCACGGCCAACTAGAGAGATCCCCAATTTCCTTGAGGAGACTTTGCCAGCTCCTCCAAGACCTTCTAAGCCCAGTCCAACCATCCTCCAGCCATCTTCCTCACTATTTGAGCTCAATTTCAGAGCTTAAAACCAGGGCATTTTTTGTCCATTTCTCAAAACTCCAAACTTATTATTTCAAAAGCATCCCCAAACCAAACTAAGAAGATCCCCACTAAAACCCCCCTCTATTCAGCACCCTAACCTAGTCTTAGACAAAGACCTCCCCACTTGTTGGAGGAAGTCTTTCTCAGAGCATTCACCAGAGGAAACCAACACTTCTAGGAGGTTTTCTAGACTCCACTGAAGCTTCTCCAAGCATCTGATTGAGGCCTCTCATCTCAGACAAAGGTATAGACCATTTTCCCCCAAATCGAGCTCGGTTTGGGCTTTTGTGAAGAAGAGATTAATTTCATGGGCATGTAACCGTATTGATAGGTTCGTCTAGACAAGATGAAGGTGTAGGAACAAACACCACTTGATTTGGTTAAGTATCGAGCGAGATCTTATGATTTTAAAGTGGACGGTTCACGGGTTATGGCCATTGAGGATAATGACGGAGGACCATCTGATCACGCGTGAATCAACTGGAGGGTCAAGAGCGCGTCAAATGAAGAAATGAAATGATAAAGCTCAGACACGTGGCAACTGACTCAGGTGGCGGCGTCAAACGGCGGAGCGATGCGTGTGAGTTCGGAGCGTCGTAGAATGACGCGACAACTGACTCAGATAAGTAGGAAAATTGAATTAACATGAT